TGTCTCTCTCTGTCAAATACATAAATAAAATCTTAAAAAAAAAAAAAAGAAAATTCCAAGTTTTATCCAAGAAATTCAGGTGTCTTATTTAACTTCACAACTTTAGGACTAGGTGCAACTCCTAGTACATACTGTGTGCTCAGTAAATATTTGCTCAGTGAATTAGCCAGTCCCTTTGCCTGTGTTGTGCATCGGTCCACTAACTGATATAAAACACATATACATTCAAACAAGAGAGAAACATTTTCCTGCAAGTCTTTTTTCCTTATCCCGTTCCATATAACCATGTCTTTTAATTGCCTTTTTTCCCCCCTGGCAACTCCATTTCCCTCCCCGCCCCTTTCCTTTGTCCCACAGGCGAAGAAACCTCTCACTCCCACCTGGCCTCTTGGCCACCAGCCAAGATGAGTCTTCCTGCTTCTCATAATTGCTCATTTTGACTGACAGCTTCACAAACTAGGACAGTGGATCATGAGGACAGTAAAAACAGATCAGATTGTTTAGGAAGAGTGAGAAATAGAATTCTGACTACAACAAGGAAACCACATCCACAATATCTTTACTCATCCTTCACCAAATTTTGTTTTCCTATTTTTCCCTCTTCATTATGAGAAGACTATAGGAGGATAATGGTAGAAAAATGAATAAATTGTGTTTAAATTAAAAAAAAATTTCTCAGTATTATAAAAGGTTCTGAGACGTTCTAAGACCAAAAATTATGACACCTAAAATCTAGGCAGAGTTATTGGCAGGAAACAAGGTCTTTTTCAATAGGGTTAAATTCTAACATAGCCGCAGAGTATTGTCAACATGCCAAGAAGAAAATCAGGTTAAAATTAATTATTTGAGTCCTTTTGTTTCTCGCATCTATTCTCCATCTCTATATACCATACTGGCAAAGTCAGCACCAGAGACTCCACACCCAACTACCCACAGATTATCTAGTAACCTGATCCTGCAAATACACAGGATAAGAATGGAGAAGAAAAAAATCCCTTTACCTTAGAAAGAGATCTTTCAAATTCAGTAACATCTCATACAATGCTCACCATTTCGTTTATGCTCACAGAATCTTATTCTTAGGCTCCAAAATGAATCGTTTCAGGGTCAAATGGTTATAGCACTTCCACGAATGGGGGGGAAACACATTTCAAATACAAAATAGTACCAGTGCAAAGGTCACATGGAGAAAGAAATGAATCTTTCCCAACTGATCTCTGTTCACTTCAGAGATCACTCCCCAAATGAGGCGGGGAGAGAAAAAAGTTCTTAAAGGTGGATGTTTTGTATGTAGGCAAATATAGAACATGAGATTTTGCAAAGGTAAAAAAGTTTCTAGAAGCACATGAAGGCCAGTGATTAGCTCATAACCCATTTAAAGGCATGTGTAAAGTTTACCCGAAAATGGATGGTTTGCTTCTGCTTTTCCATTGGTGAATTTACCGGGTATTAAACTTACATTTAAAAGGTGTCATGGTATGGGCACCTGGGTGGCTCAGTCGGTTAAGCGACTGCCTTCGGCTCAGGTCATGATCCTGGAGTCCCTGGATCGAGTCCCGCATCGGGCTCCCTGCTTGGCAGGGAGTCTGCTTCTCCCTCTGACCCTCCCCCCTCTCATGTGCTCTCTCTCTCTCATTCTCTCTCTGTCAAATAATAATAATAAAAAAATAAATAAAAAAAAATATAAAAGGTGTCATGGTAGAAGAAACAGAGGAGCAAACAAAGCCGGAGAGGTTGGGCTGATCTGGTAACTTGCTACCCATCAAATGCCAGTTAGGAATTGCCACAGTAGAGAATGGTACTTTCTAGACTGCAGCTCTATACCTAGCTTGTGCTGAATTTCAGGTTCTGCTTCTAGATGGAAAGGAAAAAAACACACACACACACAAAGATTTCCAGACCTTGGGTGTTTAAAGGGCCCTTCACACAGTAAATCAACCTATTCCTGTCTTGTTTTCTCCTCAGCCAGACTGAAATAATACAGCACTAGCAGAGGTGTGAATTACCCCCATTCATCTTAATGGAGTGTTAACTTCAAAGGCTTGTTTTAACCATTTAAATGCTAAGCTCACGAGTAAACATTCTGTTAAAAAAAGGTACAATTTAAACATTCACCCTCAACATATGAAAGTAATTCATATTCTCAGCACTTCGTCTTTTAATTTAGCAAACAAGTCTCCAAGTGTTAGAAAAGTATATATTTTGTGCTTTACTTAGTTTTATTTTAAATAGTTCTTACCTAATAAATTATGATCATTAAGCCCATAAAGCAAGGGCCTATATTTCCCAGGAAAAATGCAGCAGAGTACTTGAGCAAGGTTTTTGGTAATCCCGGTGAAGGGGGCACTGCTCTTACCTGCCATTTTATTAGCTTCCTCCAAACTCTTGGGGAAGCTGTGACTCCAAACAGGCAACTAGATAAGGCAGAATATTAAAGTGAAATAATAATAATAATAATAAACTCTTCCACAAATATTTTTCTCTTGATATTAACTAAGTTTTGTGCAGGGTTTCAATAGGTTACTTGTCCCTTGGCCAAATTCTCATGATCCTATCCCATGAGCAGGTGACAAATATATTAACTGATGCCCAGCTGTCATCACACTTAACATTTGCCCCAGGGGGCATCCTTGCATCTGTTGCAGATTTAGGGTTATTTTGGTATTACTGGAATTAGATTTATGTAAGCAGCTGAACACCTATTTGTATTTGGATCTATAATTTCATAAACAGAAAAAGAGGGTACAAGAATTAGCTTATCAGACTGATGGGCTCTGGCTGACCTGAAGCCACATGGGAAGCCATGCCTGGCTGTGCCCCTGGGACCAGGCTAAGTGCCCATTTTCAGGAAGATATCAGTAGAAGAGTACAGCAGGGGCAGAACTGTGGGAAAACACTACAAAGAGTGCACATGGGGCCACTTCCCCTGAGAATGAATGCTAGAGAAAGAAATATATTAGCTGTGCAAGATGGAAGATGAGGAAATTCCACGTCCCTGATTGAAAGCAAATTTATTTTACTGGTCCAGATGAAGAGACGGGAAAAAGGGGATAACTATCTCATCTATTAAAAGAGCCTGTCTTGGTCTGCACCAATTTATACAAGGTCATTTAATCCTCTCAACAGAACCCTGTATAATTGGTATTAACTCCATTTAATACGTATGTGAAAGTGGAGGCTTAGAGAGGTTAAGTACTTTGCCTAAACTCACTGAGATTTGAATCTAAGTCTTTCTAACCCCCAAACTTGGACTTTTTCCATTATACTACGCTTATCCCCAGTTGCCAAAGAAATATCTTAACTCAAAAGAGAAGCTCAGTTGTCAATTCTTCAGCCCATTTCCTAAGTGGGAAAAGCAAGGGGGCACCTGCAAAAGTGTGTATTTCCATACATGCAAATTGTACTTTGCATGCAATTCCCTACTTTACATGTGCACAAGGGTAGAATTACATTTTTACTGATACACCCTGGCTTTGGTAGGCTGCTAACAAGGTGTCCTTTACATAGAACACTCATGGGGAGGAGAGATCTAGCTTCTGGTTTCCTACCAGAAATAAGCCACATCAATGGGAAACAATGATTTCTAACCTCCACAGAAAATACGATATAAATCACTATTTGTCTCTGTTTGCCAAGTAGAAAGTCACATGTTGTAGTGACAAATGAGAAAGCTCAGAGAACTTCCAAATCCACAGCCAATCATCACAGCTCTATCTCATAATGAACAACAGGAAAATGACAAAAGTTTCTTAGAGAAGATTCAGAGGCAGGGCAAAATACCAAATGAAATAATCCCAGTTTTGTTATTGGTGATTAATGTTGACAACATTAACCCACAGCTAACATTCAATTTTGTATATAAGCTCAATACACTGATTTCTTAAAAAACAAACAAATGAAAGATTGACCCAGTATATTTAATAACATTAAAAACTTTTGCTCTGCCATAAACACTGTTGAGAGAATGAAAAGGCAAGCCACAGACTGGGAGAGAGTCTTTGCAAAACACATTATCTGAAAAAGGACTGGTATCTAAAATACATAATGCATAAAACTCAACAATGAGAAAACAATCCAATTAAAAAAATGGATGAAAGATCTGAACCTTACCAAAGAAAATATACAGATGGCAAATAAGCCTATGAAAAGATGCTTAACATCATATGTCATTAGGGAAATGCAAATTGGAACAACAATGAGATACAACTATACACCCATTAGAATGGCAAAAATCCAAACCACTTACAAACCAAATGCGGGCGAGGATATGGAACAACAGGAACTCTCATTCATTGTTGTCAGGAATGTAATATATTACAGCCAGTTTGGAAGGCATTTTGGCAGTTTCTTATAAGACTAAATATATTCTTACCATATGATGCAGCAATTGTGCTCTTTGGTACTAACCCAAATAAGCTGAAACTTATATTCATGCAAAAACCTGCACACAAATGTTGATAGCAGCTTTATTCTTAACTCTGAAAGCAACCTAGAGGTCCTTCAACAGGTGAATGAAAAAATAAACTGGCACATCCATAACAATGGAGTATTATTCAATGATAATAAGAAATGAGCTATATGAAAATACATGGATGAAACTTAACTGCATTTTGTTAAGTGAAAGAAGCCAGCCTCAAAGGTTAGATAATATATAATTCCAACTATATAAAATTCTAGGAAAGGCTCACAGGGAAAGGCTCATAGTTTTTATGAAGGCAGTCAAGAGATCAGTGGTTGCCAATGCTTGCATCTATAGTGAACTCTAAGGTAAACTATTTACTTTAGTTAATAATACTGTATCAATATTGGCTCATCAAGTGTAACAAATGTACCACACTCACGCAAGATGTCAATAATATGGGAAACTATGGGTGTGCTGGCAGTGAGGGGATATAGAAGAATTCTGCATATTTTGTTCAATATTTCTGTAAACATTAAATCTACCTGAAAAAAACAAAATCTATTAATTTTTTAAAAATAAACCACAAAGATTGACCTAATGTATTGAAGAACATTTTGAATTTATTTTAATTAAAACTGTTATAAACCCATTTTCCCCTACCTACTCCCATTTTGTTCTGCTTTTCTGTTAATAATGTTTACAAAAATGTTTACCCATATAAAAAGGATTTATCCAAGGTGCCTTCCAGAATTACTCCTTTTTTGCATATAGAGGTAAATTATTCTTCATAAGAAGTAGGAACATATTTCTTTCATTTATTAATCCAATTAAAAATGATTAGTGCTAAACTAAAATTCCCAACCAAAATTCCAAAGATGAGCAAAACAAAAGCCTGTGGAAATAAAACAATAAAGAACAATTAGAGTATTTTAAACCTCCACCTTCTCCAATAAAGTATGTTATAGTTCAAAATCCATTAATTTTCTTAATGTAGATAAAATAGTCAATTATAAAATGACAAGTTATTTCTTAAAACAGAATTCTTAAAAGAAATAAACAAAAGCTAACCTACCCCAAGCTTTTTCCATGAGAGAAAATCCTCTCTGCTAAGTTTAAGATAAAATAGTCCTGGGAATACAAAAATCAAACACGTTGATGTACTGGAACCTTTGAGCAGGGAAAAAAAAAAAAAAGGGTATTGTCAGATTCAGATGTGAGGCTGGATGACAATTTTACCCATTTTGTTATATGGGATTTTTTGAAACAGAAAACTTACCAATTATACCAAATACATTCTTAATGTCAGGAACATATAATGCAAGTAAAACAATGATTATATTGACTGCTAGAGTGATCAAAGAATGGCGAATCCATGAGAATGGAAAGTTGGAGAAAAACATCATCATTAAAGCTTTCCTTGCCTGTATAACAGAAAAAGAAACAGATTTAAGCAAAGAAAAAGTGTAAAAGCCAAAATACCTGCTTAGGGAAACACAGGTACAATACAGTAACCATGACATTCTTGTCCCCTACACCATTTAGATTTTTAAAATATAGCATAAACTACTATTAAAGTGTTTATGACACATAAACTAAGAAATATACCTTTCTGTGTGAGCGTCATAAAAATTATTTTGCTTCAATTCTTGAAGAAATGTTCACATTCAATTTCTCTAGGTTGCATACTTTTCAAAATGACCAACAATAACACTGTGTGATGAGATCTCAATCATTTTCATTAAATTCACACACAGAAGAACAAAAGGTTAAAATAGAAAAAGAGGTCATGCTATGGGAAAGAAACATCATTTACTATTTTATTTTATATTATCTGTTTCATAGCATGTAAATATAAAAACTAATTCATGACACATCCCCCTTCATACACTGCCACCCCCCCATCCCCCGCCAAGGCACGCCTGGCAGAGCAGTTCACACAAGGAGTGGGCCAAAGATCTTGAAGGCCCAGTTCTTAGGGAGCTCACTGTTTAGGGGTTCAAGACATTCATGCAGAACCATTCATACCTAAAGCCTCTGTTTCCATTTTCTCAGAAATTCTTAAGATTCTTACATATGGCAACTAAATGCAGAATGAAGATCTGATCTGCCCCTTAATTATAATTCTAGAGCAAATAAAATATTTTGACTAGGATTAAATTAGAATGTCTATGTGAAAACAAATCTACAATAAACCAGAAGGAGCTTATTTTTGCTGACTTGACTTTTGCCTCTTCATGCACATTCTTTTGAAAACAGAATACAGAATTAAAGAGGGGGAAAAACCCAAAACTTTAGAAGAACCATAGTCTCTAAATTGGAAACAATGCTGTGGGAGAGCATAAATCTAAACTAAATCTCAGAAAGCACAAATTAGCTTAGTGGTTCACCGTTATTTCTGTGCTTTCATGGGGCCATATGCAAGTATGAGGTCTTTGATCAATTACTTGACAAATGAATAAGATATACAAGACTAGATGTGATTCAAACACTCTAGTCTGCAAAGCATTAGTGTTGCCATATTAGGGAGCTGCTACATTAAGCAACAAGCCCTTTAAGAATACTTACAGGGAAGTGGATTAGAGGGACTGTCAAAAGCACAGCAAATAGTATGCATAACTTCACAGTCATGACGACAACATCATGGGGCAAGTATGTGCTATAACCTTGCAGTAATTCTGACGCCACTTTGTCTGTCAATTAAAAAAATAATAATAAGGACCACATTATAAACTACTAAGATGTCAGTAACAGCAAAATTATTTTTCTTGCACAAATAGATCTTAACAAATTTTGGATTCCCAGACCAAATTCATCTCTGGCCTTTTTCCTATCCTATGAAACACAGAGACATTAGTTAAATATCTTCTTGAAAATTACAATCTTAAAATAAAAAGTATTTATATATAAAAGAAAATTACAATCTTTTCTTTTAAACCAGAAACCAGCACAGGCAGAACCTCTAAAATTATGACAATGAATATATATATATAGTTATCTCTTTACAACTTTTCCATAATCTGAAGGTTTTGAACATTTATGTTTGTTTTGTAAGGTGCTTTCACATGTATTACTGAAAGTGTATCACATGTTTCCTTCCGATAACAATTAAGACAGGTAGCTAGGGTAAGAAATATTAACTGACTTGCCCAAGATCACACCACAAAAAGGGGAAGAGCTTCGCAGAGCTATACACCCCAATTTTTTTGGTGCCAAAGCCAATACCTTTTCCTCAATACCACAATGTTTTCTAGAATCTTACACTTCCATGCATGTTGCCTGCTTCATCAACATTTCATCTGTAGATTCCTCTTTCCTAAGAAAATGCAGTTGTAGGGAAACGCTTACTCGGCAAGCCAGTGTGGTAGTCAAGGGCAGAATGTGTACACGCTGACCAGGCTTTGCTCCATGCTGTTCTTCCAGTTTCACAATGTCTTCTGCACCCCCAGTCAGACAGGGGCATGAAGAGTGAGCGCTCTCAAGAGCACTCCATATCCTGCCTTGCAGGCAAAGATCAGTTTGTACTTAAAATGGAATGGTGCTTTTTAAATTTGAGAGTAATATGTATTGGAAAAGATGCTTTGGAGGAAATAAAAAAACAAGGATCTTAAAATATAAAGGAGCAATAAGATGCACACACCCATATAACAGAAAGTTGGATAAACACAGATACACACGTAAGTGGCAGTAGTCATTCTAAACAAAGAGCTACGGTGATTCTGAATAGGGAAAGGTAACTGTGACTTTGGGATGAGCAAGCAGGAAATCCAGGGAGGCTTGGGGAGAGTCATCATGGTCTAGAGAATAGCAGGAAGGTAGAGGGCCCTGAATTCTGGGACTACACAGACTAATGTTCAAATTCCTCTACTTATTAGCACCTTAACTTCTCTGAGTCTCTCTGTTCTTACATCTGCAAAATGGGGACAATAATATTTTGACCTGTGGATTACTGAGAGCATTAAATGAGTTAACGTATGTGTGGGGAAAGAGATTTTCTGTCAGAGCAAGAAGAGCACAGGCAGAAGCCCAAATGTAGCAATGAGAATATGCATCTAAGAAAATGAGTACCCAGTGGTACTACAGTGGCTGGAAGAGGATGTGCTAGAGAGCAAAGACAGTAGTGGGTGATATGGCCAGAAAATGCATTTACGACCCAGGAGCAGGGCTCTTCACAGGTAAACCCTATGAAGTGGGCCACAGAGATGCAATGACTTATGAAGATTAGTGTATTATGATCTGAACTAAGCAGGAAGAAAAAGATACCCAAAACAGAAATAACAGGAGGTTACTGTCATAATCACTGAGAGGTAATGAGAAACTGAACTAGACCAGTGATAATGGAAATGGGAGAGAAACTAATTGTCTAACATATGAAAGAACTACTTTACACGATGTGAGACTAGTGGACTAAAGAAAGAGATTAAGAAGAGCCAGGAAAGCTGGGTATTATTTCCAAACCTGAGATATTTGTAAGCCTTTGAAAAAATATGGCAAACTCTTTTATTTCCACTTTCTGAGTCATGAAAGTGAGCTATTAACACTTAGTGCTTAACAATTTTGTACTTTTAAAATAGTCTGGTTATGACGTAACATTTGGGCATAGGCCTGGCTCCCCAGAGGAACACTTTTTCTCCCTCACCTTATGACACTTTAACATCTATAATGAGCCAGTACTATTAATCCAGGCACATACTTATAGGTCCCTGTAATCTGACAAAATTTAGATATTAACTAAGCTTTGGGAGCACTGGATAAAAGGATCCCAAGCAGCTCCAGAAGCCTGAAGAACTAGATTTATTATAAATTCAAAATATCTGTTACATATCCGCTTTCTACTTTCCCAGGATGAAAACACTTCATCTGAGACAGTCAATTCTGTGTTCCTAGCTGAGCCTTAACATATGTAAGGGATAGAGTACAACACACTTCTCTGAATTCAGACAAATCTCTATAAATCTCAGTAAGGATCTGACAGTGATCTCTGCAAGTTATATATACTATTACATCAGCCATATGAAGTTTATACAGATTACCATAGAGTAGCAGAAAGATCACTGGATTAGGATTCAGGAGACATGCCACTAAATGTGTGACATGTCACGTCACTTCTCTGGGCTTCAGCTGCTCATTTACAAAATGAGTTGAAGGCCTTAACTTATGACTAGCCCTTTTGATAATTGCTCAATCAACAATTTTTTTCCATAAGACTGAGAGCTACTGTTATCTCGATAGAAATATACCATAAAAGATGTTCCTTAATTATAATTAACAACCCCCCAAAAGCTAATGTAAACAGCAAAATCAATACCTGAATTCTCTTTTATCTTTGGAGAAGGAATTACTTTTATATCATTCTTCTTATCTATCACCCACCTATGATGAGATTTTTCTTAGATGTGTACTTCTCCATTAGAGAAAATGTGGATACTCTGAAGAATTTGCAGTGGATTAAGTCAGAGACAACATTAACAGCTTTACCTGATAACAAGGACAATCCCTGTGTAGGAAATACTTCACTTACATAATGAAAATGTTTAGCCTCTGTGTTCACGTAACAACAGATAGATAGGTATATAGGTAGGTAGGTAGGTAGGTAGGTGAAGACATATAGATATGCTTGGAGCTTAAGTGAGCCAGGTTTTTCCAAAAGCTCACTAACAAAAACTTGGGATGAAGGAAATCTCGGTTCTATTGCATAATTCCTGAGGAGGCAACATGATAACAAAAACACTCACTCTGGAGAAAAGTCAGAACTGGATTCAAAGCCCAGCTTGTTATCCATTAGCTGCAGGTATCTGGCTGGCAGAACCGCTCACCCTATGTGAACCTATACCTTGTAGAGTTGTAAGGATTAAATTAAGCAATGTATATAAAATACTGGGCACTTACGTAGTAAATGTTAGCTCAATAAATGTATTAGTATCCGTCCTTCCTCCACTTTCCTTTCAATCTAAGCTTTCTTACAATTTAGTACTGCATCTCACAGTAATTTACGTAACTATTCCTCAGCAATCCTGGAGATTGGCAGGCCATCTGTGGCTTCTTCCAGACAGCTATTTATCCATAAGGTGGAGGAAGAGGTCTATTTTTTGGATTTTTTCTCAAAGTTGAAGATCACTAAATAGAAGAGTATTTGTGCCAGGTGACAATTTTACTTTAGAAAAATATACAGCTATTCTGTTATACTAAGTTTTTGCTGAATCCCAACAGAGAACCTGCTACAGTATTTTACTGATCTAGAAAAGCCTTATTGAGCTCAAGTCTGTACAAAAATTTACAAACCCAACAACCAAAACTAGAGTTTATGTAGTTCAAGAATCCTGCTTCATCAGCAATGATCAAAAAAGCTTAACCGTCTGCCTTAATTTTCTTTGTAGTGTATCCAGCAGGGTACCATAGTCATGTTGGAAATAATGCTTTTCCTGATGGTGTACACAGAGCTCTACTATACTACTCTTATCCTACATCAGTATTAAAATGCAAGAGCAGATTTAGATTAATGAATGGCCTTTATTACTGTTAAAATAGCACAGAGATAATAAGAAAAGGACTATATGGCAATTATAATTTTCTCATACTCTGAAAACTCCAAGATCATCCTCATAACATAGTTCTATAGAGTTACCATATTTAACTTAAATTCCATTAAAGATAGTGAGAAGTAAAGGGCTGAAAAACTGAACACCTGAAATTATAAAATAACTACAACGCTAATGATAATAATAATAGTAACCATCAGCAGTAGCTCTCCTTTGTGGAAGACTGCTATGTGCCAGAGACTGTTAACAGGCATGTTACACATACCTCATTTCCTTCTCAATACAACTCCACAAAATTACCCCTGTCACAGATTAGGAGACGAAGAGATTACAAAGGTGAGCCTCCTGTTCAAGGTCATAGAGCAGAGTAGTTATCTGTACCACATTTGTTGGATTTCAAAATCCATACTCTTTCCACTGGGATTAGGAAAGGGAGCTGGTTTAGTAAAGGCAGCTGTGCAAGTAAACGTTGTCCAAAAACTTGTCAGACTTGGAAAAACTCTGGGAGAGAAGCAAAGTGCCACTGAAGTAATCATGGCCATCTAAGACCAGCAGCATGCGCACAAGGCTATCAACCATGAAATAAATCAGTCGTAACAGCTAAGTATCACCAGAGTAGTAACAGCCATTTACTTGGAGAGTTGTTATAAAAGCGCTCAGAAGCTGAAAAATGTAATCAAGAATTGACAAATTGAGTGCAATTTGTTATAATGGCTTTGTCTGCAAATTAAATATGTTTGCAAATTAAAGAGACTACAATTTTTTTTCTTGTTCTAGACTTTTAAGTTTCAGTTTTTCTTGAGGTTCTTTTCAGAACAGAAAAAAACATACCAAGCAGGCAATTTTTCAAAAATAAAAAAAAAATTACTGTTATTTTAAGAATTTAAAAGAATCCTTTACAAAATTTATGGGAAAAGATCATGGTGCATCATAGAACACACATTGCCAAATTGTGTGAATTAAGTCTGAAGGCAAAGATCTCTGATACCTAAGCGTACAACTATAACCAAGTGTAAACCCTTTCCTTTCGTAACTTGTTCTTTTGCAATTAAGATGATTGATTCTCCCAACCTCCCAAACTGAACTAGAGTCTAACATATTGAATTCTCAATTAAAAAATAAAATCATTGAGCGCCTGGGTGGCTCAGTCGGTTAAGCGACTGCCTTCGGCTCAGGTCATGATCTTAGAGTCCCAGGATCGAGTCCCGCATCAGGCTCCCTGCTCGGCAGGGGGTCTGCTTCTCCCTCTGACCCCCTTCCCTCTCGTGCTCTCTGTCTCTCATTCTCTCTCTCTCAAATAAATAAATAAAATCTTTAAAAAAAATAAAAATAAAATAAAATCATTATTGCACATTTTTTTCTTGTGGAAAGACAGCAATGTCCCTGAGCTTTATTTAGGTGTTTAAGAAAATTTTCATACGAAGTTATTAATCTTGAACTTGATCCACATTTATTAAAAGAAAGAAAATCAATTTTTGAAGGTCCATAAAGCTACTACAGTACTGCACTGAATTCCAGCAGCCTAAACAAATTAACTTACTAATGAAAGGCAAAAACAAAGTCTATCTTCAGGTGTGAGATCAACTATAGAATAATTTCTTTTGTCATTGGTAGTTAAATAATATACTTACCATAAAAAGTGAGGTACCCAAAGAGTGCAGATATAAAATAAATGAGAAAACTTAAAGCAATTGCTGTGTGGGTTACATTTTGCATTCTTTTCTTTGAAGGGCTAAAAGACAAAAATGGCAAAAGTAGAAACTATGATCTGAATGATATATATCTAAAGAAACAAATATCTCCCAAGCTAGTCAAGAGGATTCCTTAATTGTTCAAGACCTACTTTATTAATAACTATATATTAGAATTTCTGATTTGAAATTACTGCATAAAGATTATGCTTCCAGGAAACATTCTCAAGTTGGACAGAACTAACTCTCAGTTGTTTTATTTTTTTTTTTTTTCATGTCTGTAGATATTTATTTTTTCAACTTCAGGGTATTTATTAAAAATATTAACAGGGATCACATTAAATTTGTATATTAACTTGGAGAGAATTTACATCTTTACCATACTGAATTTTTTTTTTTTTTTTATGTTCAGTAAGCCAGCATATCAGTTGTTTTGTTTTAAACTAACACTTAGGGGCACCTGGCTGGCTCAGTCGGTAGAAGAGCATGTTTTGGGGTTGTGAGTTCAAGCCCCACACTGGGTGTAGAGCTTACTTAAAAATAAAATCTTTAAAATAAATAAATAAACTAACAGTTTCCCAGTGATGGGAAAGAAGGATTCATAAAGGAGAACGTCATTCAATTTGAAAGTCTAAGTAAAAAGAAATACTTAATACACTTAAAATATTTCAGGATTCTATGGTACCTTTGAAGTTCACAGTATATTGGCAATACTGAGGTATGGCAGAGAAATGAAAAAGCCATGGTAGGTAGGGCATAAACACTCTGGAAAAGAATTAAAAAAGATGAAATTATTAAATGCTATCCTGTTGAAACCACTACTCCATTTGACAATAAACTCAGTTCTTAAAAAAAAAATCAATTTGGTTAAATTTATTTCATCTTTCACGAATCATCTCTTTATAAAATAAGGGTGTTTTGTTTGTTTTTAAAGAGATACATGAGTATGGTCACCAACGAATGTTTTACTTGATAGTTGGACTGCCTGTGCTAGCCAGAATATTTCTTGGCTGGCTTCTATACCATGTTGGGAGTACCATCAACTGAATCTAAGGGAATACTGAAAATACTAATCACATCTTACCATCTTTAACTAGGATCTGTTTCTTCTTCTTTTTTTTTAATATTTTATTTATTTATTTGACGGAGAGAGGGAACACAAGCAGGGGGAGTGGGGGAGGGAGAAGCAGGCTTCCCGCGGAGCAGGGAGCCCGACGCGGGGCTCGATCCCAGGACCCTGGGATCATGACCTGAGCCGAAGGCAGACGCTTAACGACTGAGCCACCCAGGTGCCTCAACTAGATCTGTTTCAATGGGAATGAATATGATATATTCCCGACTAACAAATTCTTAAAGATCCATTGGAATACACAAACGTAAGTGTTTTTTTTATTAGAATACTTAAGAGCCAGAGGAAGTTATAAAGCGAACAAAGTCATCACCTAAGTGAAAATACTGTCTTTATAAAATGGGTGGTGATGATTTACTTTCTCTTTTCTACTATAAAAAGATTACCCTCGGAGCGCCTGGGTGGCTCAGTTGTTAAGCGTCTGCCTTCGGCTCAGGTCATGATCCCGGAGTCCTGGAATCAAGCCCCGCATTGGGCTCCCTGCTCGACGGAGAGCCTGCTTCTCCCTCTCCCACTCCCTCTGCTTGTGTTCCCTCTCTCGCTGTCTCTCTGTCAAATAAACAAACACTTAAAAAAAAAAAAAAAAAAAGATTACCCTCTAATTAACAGCTTTAGGCTTTTCAACAAAAATTCCAGATGACTGAAGACCTATCTTGGGATATAATGCCTCCTAAAATATCTGAAGGGAGGTGCAAAGGAAAGCGGTAGCATTTCCTGAGGCTGGATTAGGGGAATGAGAGTTTAATTCACAAATTCTCTTTCATATATTGCTCAATTTCCTGGCTTGTCAATTACTCCACCTAGATAGATCTTTAAGGCAGACAGCCTTTACCATGTAAAGGATGTGGTAATCTCCCTTGTGGAGTCAGAGAGACATTTCTCATTGAAAAACTGGGGATAAAAAGGAAAATTCTGCATGGAGGACTTAGCACACTAACATGCTACACTAATAGAGTTGTACAAGAGTGGAGGAGATTCTAGTATCTGGGACTTGGATTTCAACAGAATCAAAAAATGTAGATGAAGAAACTTGTGGCAACAGGGAAGACTGTGGGCTCTTCTAGAATGGTAGAGTAGAAATCATCCATATCACAGTTCCTGTCTCCTCTGCCAATACTCAGGGGCTCTTAACAGACATTTCCAGTGTCCTGGTTCTCAGAGATGGCAAGGAGACTTGGTCTTCTAGTCTCCACTCCAAGCGTCATAAATTTCAACTTTGGAATGTCAGCCAGAATATATATTGGCAGCACTCAATTGCTGGTCCAATGATGAAGCTGTTTAGCTACAGACCGAGGTTCTACTCACAGGGGAGGAGTTTTTGATATAATTGGCTATTTAGCTTTACAAGTCCAGAGGGCAACAGGAAGTCTGTATCCACAGAGGACCTTATTGGCCAGACCAGACATTTGGTAAATCTGTTCTTTTGGGCAGTGGCCCATTTAAAACAGGCTCCATTTAAAAGTATGCCAAAAAAAAAAAAAAAAAAAAGGTGGCTGTTTCATAATGGGCCACCCTGTGTTAAATAATATTATTCTTCTGGTAGGCAACCCTATACTTAGCATTTTCATGAAAATTAATTAGTTACAGGTACAAAGACCTAAGAGACCCTGTTACACAAATCTCTTAAAACTTGAAATGTGAAAAATCAACCAAAAGTATCTGTTAATAACTTACACACCTCTTTGGAGAAATGAAAGAGCTTTGGTTTACAATCATCTGTAGCATTTGAAATCTGTTTAAGAGGATTGAGGGGAAAAAGAGAAACCAACAGTCATTAAAAATCAGAATACATCAACAAAAATGATGTATTTATTATTAGTAGGCTTTCAAATAAAAATATTTCAAAACAAAGTTCCAAATTGCAATATAGCCATTACTTTTTCATTAATTAGGGAAAAAAATCATTATTAGTCTGATTTTTTCTTTTTAGCTTAAAATAAAAAGAAACAAAATATAAACTATTACCTGGAAGTATTGCCCTACATAATTTAATGGCAGAGGACAAGGAATGGACCATTTTTTAATCATCACCTGTAAAAATAAATAGAATCCACACTCAAGATTATTTCTTATAAAATTCATGACAAGGCACTGATTTCAAACAGGTCAGCATTATTTCAATTAAACTAATACCATACCAAATAATAGCTAATAGAAGATTCTTTGCTCATATTGTCTTTTTCCAGTTAGAATGGGTCATCCTTTAACATGGATATCTATCGTGAGGGGAGAGGGGATGCTGTATATCTATTTAGTGGGGTTCTCCCCCATTAAAGACAGAGAGTATTCTCATGTCAACTGTCAACTTTCCAAACCCGAAAAGCATCAAGGCATTAAAAAAAAAAAAAAAAGTACAACTCTAAATGGGAACCTGATGTTTTTAGTGACAATGGTATAAAACTACGGCTATTTGTGGACCTGGCATCAGTAGCAGATCGAGAAATATTAATAGTAGTTTGGGAGATGGCCACAGGCAGAAGTAAGTAGAGAACTTCTGCAAAGCAGGAGTTCTGATGGAGAAGTACTGTCCTGCTGGCTTTTTTCAGACTTGCATTAGTTTTAGTAAACGTATATAAAGCGGGCTAAGAAAAGAGCACATAGCTAGCGAGCTCTAGCTGGTAAAAAGAAATTTTTAAAAAATTAAAAGAAATCCAGAGGGATGTTATTTCCCTGAAATAATCAATGTAAATATCTCGGGATTTTACTCTGGATTGTGGCCATCCTTCTCCTAGACCTACAGGTGCGGTCGTGTGGACATTACCAGGTTGCAGTAGTTTTGGGGCACATAATTATTCTGTAAATATTTGCTCCAGGCTGGAACCCAGCATACACAGGGGCAAGGGAGAATAAAGGAGGCATTTGTCCTTAGCAGGAGACCAATAAGGAAATACTAGTCCTATTCCTATTTGGTATTTATCTAGTTTTGGATTTTAACTAATTCAAAACAAAATTTTATATACTGATAAGACAAACCTAAGGAAAACATACACTTTTAGAATTAAGTTAATGAGTGTTAGAACTAAAGAATTACTCTTAATTAAAACCCTCACCAAGGAAAAAGAAAAAGAAATAAAAGGGTAAACTGAGCAAGTTGCTTGGACATTGGACATTTATTTCAATATGAAAAAAAACTAAAGGGTCAACTTACCAAGAGGAAAAAAAATTAAAAGCAATGATTTCACATCTGTTTTCTGATATGTTTTCAAAAAAAGGATGAGGATGGGGCAGGGCAGAAGCTAGAGCAGCACGGTTGTCACTGGTCTCTCTCCTGGCCCGACTCCAAATGCAGGTTGCACATCTCCCCCTTCCTAACAGTAGTGTGGTGGCAGCAGCAACCATATACTGAGCACTTGGGTCCCAAGTACTGTGACAAGGTTGGAATGTGAGCTAGCTCATTTATTTTATCAGCTATTCTTACTTGGCTTGGAAATCAAAATATTTCAAAACAATGCTCCAAAATACAATATAATGATTCTTTCATTCATTTCCAATGAATTCCTAGTTAATGAAAAAGTCATTAGCAGTTTGGTTTTATATTAATATAAAGTTCAGTTACTATAGCTAATTTCCCTGCAGAGACCAATCCTAAGCCTAAGCCTGCCCAGTAGGATGGTGAGATGTGCTGTTCTATAAAGCAGAGTACAGCATGGGAATAGTAAGATACCCAACAACAAAGTGTAACAGGGAGTCCTTGCTTCCGTTGAAGACAGAACATGGTAAGAAGACAACTCCAGGGGTTAGAAAGACAAAGGGAAAAATAATTCACTTGTGTAAAAGGCCCTTCCTTCTCTCTGTTCTAAGTTCTTCCCATCTTTCAAGGCTCAGGTCAAGTTTAATTTCCTTCTCTCCTGTCAACTGCTGTGATTCTTATTCTGAAGCAAATAAATCAATGCTTAATTAGGTACTGTCTATATTGTTGTCTATTTTTTTCCAATTAATTTTTCTCATCTCCCCTATGAGATTGCCAGATCCTTATGAGCAGTGTCCACAAATCTATCTGAAGCACCAATCATGCCTCACTCAGTGCTCAGAACAAGCAAAGCTTCTGACTACAAACCATCCACACTGTTTCCTGTTTTGATTACTGGCTTACTAAAATATTACTTAAGATACTAATCTGCATTCAAGGCAGAACTTTTGGAAAGAATGGCAATCCATTAGTTTTCTGAAACGGACCAAAAAAGGTAAATCTATCTGGTTACTGTCATTCTTGACCCACTGTTAAAATAAAATGAATTTTAAAACTTTTAGATATTTCAGAGGGGGGCAAAATTTTATGTTAAAATTTTTAGGCAAAATAAGGATCTGGGGCAACAGATAAGACTGTAAGTTTTGGGGTGCCTGGGTGGCTCAGTTGGTTGAGCTTCATTCAGACTCTTGCTCTCAGGGTCGTGAGTTCGAGCCCCATGTTGGGCTCCAAGCTAGGCCTGGAGCCTACTAAAAAAAAAAATAAAATAAATAAAACAAATAAAAAAAAGACTAAGTTTTGCTTTCCATCTGGTGGCAGGCATCAGCTCAAAGGTCAGCCAAGATGGGCACTTACAAGTCCATCCAGGAGCCATGGAGGAACAAGCAGTCCCATGTAATGCACTTTCTTCTCGGCGTGTGCTGCTGGCAGTACCCACAGCTCTGTGTGCTCCACAGGGCTCCCCCAGGCCCCCAAAGCAGGCGGATAAAGCGTGCAGACTGGGGTACAAGGCCAAGCAAGGTTATGTCATATATCAGATTCACTGTAGTGGCCCCAAACGCTGTTCCTAACGGTGAGACCTCGAGCCAGCCTGTCCATCACGGTGCTAACCGGCTAAGGTTTGCCAGAAGCCTTCAGTGGGTTGCAGAGGAGTGAGCTGGATGCCACTGTGGGGCTCTGAGAGTCCTGAATTCTTACTGGGTTGGCAAAGATTCCAGGTACAAATTCTTTGAGGTTATCCTCATTGATCCATCCCATAAAGCTATGAGAAGAAATCCTGACAGCCAGTGGATCGCCAAACTGGTCCACAAGCACCGGGCAACGCCAGGGCTGACATCTGCCGGCCGCACAAGCCGCGACAAAGGCTTCCAGGTTCCAGCAGACTATGAGCGGTTCTTGCTGTGCAGCACGGAGAAGACACGATACTCTCCAGCTCCACTGTGTAAGTAATGTTTGTAAAATCCTTACCTAATAAACAATTGCGCTCAGGCATGGTTGCTCAAAAGTGTTCTTTGTCTGTTAAAATGAGTTGTCTGCAGATTGTTCCATGAATGTGTTGTCAAACTATGAAGTGATGGTGTGTCTTGTTTCTAATAAGATAAACACTTTTGTCTTTGCTTTACGTCATCAGGGAGTTTATATGCCAGTGTTTAAAATGCTGTTTGGTATAATAGGTGTAAAATAAATTCTGTAAAAGTGGAATGCAGAAGCTAGCCATCTCATCTGTGGGTGCATATAATGAAACCTACAGCTTCACTGGGGTGATGTAATGCTCTGCTGGTTTACTCCCAAATGGTTGTTTTTAGGGGTTTGGTAAGAACAAACTTTTTAAATTGGATTTTGCTTGGCAATGTGAAGAACATTCAAATCCCTTATCATGATCATATGCAGAATAATAAAGTTAATTAACTAGGGTCCGCATTTTTAGGTTTAATCCAATATTCCACTTAAGTAATTGCTGCTTTTGAAAGAATAGTTCAAAAGAATGCCACCATTTTTAGAAGAATTGAATAAACCCATTGTAAGAGGGTTCTCTTACAAATGAAAATAAATCCTGCTTAACCTAAGCAAAATTGCCTTGATCTCCACAGTACCACTGAGGTTCACATAAAACATGGAGGCTTCTGATTCTATCCCATCACTCCATGGGATCTGTAGAATACCGAATTCCATACAAAGCAGTCAGTATAGTATTTACACCAGTGTATATTTAAAACTGTAGAAACTGAACATTAGGTAAATGAGAAGATTTTACCTTAAGACTTGTAAGGTAGTAACCAATGCTAGGATTGGGAAACTGGTAGCCATCAGATAACCTTTTACATGTGAGGATAAAAAATTAAAGTCAGCTGTGATCAGAATTTAAAAAAAAACCTACAAGTTTCGATTTACATTATTTGGAGAGTGTAATTTAAGAAAGTAATAGATTTCTGGACTGATTTTTTAAAAAATTTTTATATTAAGAATTTTTTTTAAATGTAATATAGATATTATATAGATTTATAAATACATATTGACAAAATAGTAAATGGAGCCATTGATACAATTCCAAAAAGTCTGGGTTGATATATACATGTTTCCTTTCCCTAACCATTATGTATTTCAAAACCTAATTATTTAGAAAGTCTAAAATAAAAGTCACAATTAAAAGGAACATTTTTTAAAAAGTCTTCATTGTCCCATTGTAGATCAAATTTAAACTGTGCTCACAGGTAAAAATCTGAGCAGATGGTTTGTAAAGCATTACAATAAGTACAGAATAAGGGCATTATGTCCATATGACTGCTACAGTAAGAAATCTGCATCAAATTTAAGAGTATCTGCCATGACAGAAATGAATATTGTGAAAACTACAAAAGACATATCGTATCAATATATTTCACATGCTTCAAACTACTGGCTATAAAAACCAAATTATTCTTACCTATGCAATGCTTGGATTGCCAATTATCTGTGAGGAAAAAATTCAGTGTTATCTAGACTGATTCTCTTTCACATCCATATGTTCATTTGCATACAAAGGTCATTCCTAACCAAAAAGATGCTTCTCACAGTTTTATGAAACTGGACTACTTTCTAACACCATATAGAAAAATAAATTAAAAATGGATTAAAGATGCTTAATTAGGATTAAATGTGAGACCTAAAACCATAAAATTCCTAGAAAAGAACACAGGCAGTAATTTCTCTGACGTCAGCCATGGCAACATTTTTCTAGACATGTCTCCTGAGGCAAGAGAAATGAAAGCAAAAATAAACTATTTGGACTACATTAAAATAAAAAGCTTTTGCACAGTGAAGGAAACCACCAGAAAAACAAAAAGAAAACCTACTGAATGGGAGA